CCCAGAGCAGCGCTGATCAGACCGAAAGCTCAGCTTCTTCTCAGTCTCATTTTTCTACCTTTCTTGTAATTTGCCTTGTCCTGCCGTGGCTCGCAGGAGACTAGGACTTACTGCAGAGGTTCTAGTAATGTCCCCTTTCCCTGTTCCCTACAGGATACAACTAGCTGTCAATCAAGGCCAGTTGAGTGTGACAATTTGTGATATTCCAGGCAGTACCATGTTCCAGGGACTCCATTCTGGGGGGATAGAGGTATGGTTTGAATGTATAAAGAGATGTCTTATAGTTGCCTTCCTGTAAAGCAGAACTGAGATGTATGCTTGTGTGTAGAGCTTATTTGGAAATATGACTCCAGAGAGCAGAAATACAGGGAATAGAGAAGAAGGGAAGCCAGTACAAGAAGCCCTTATGAATCTGCCCAGTGCTGCACGTATCTAGGGTTGGATCCAGTGAGATTCTGCCTTGTGTAATACGTCTAAGAACTATTTGGTTGGAAGATACAAGAAGGGCGACATTGGTCATCAGCTTTGGACCTCTATAGCTCAGAATGGCCTCATTGACATTAACTCTCTTGTACATTTGGATTAAGAATGCACAAATTCCAAGTAATTTGGAAGACATCTTGGGCTAGCCTCAAAGCAATCTTTCTGCAGAAAGCAAGAGATTATAGTGTAGGTTAAGGAAAGGGGAAATCCATTTATCCTAGCACAAAAAGTGGTAAAAACCTGCACAGAGCTAGTAACTGCAGCAGTGGCTAAAGTAGGAGCCAAGAAGATTTTGAAACATGCATAGGAAGCATCTCATTTAGGAGGTGACATGATGAGCCTATCATTGAGGGAAACCCTCCTGAGACAATGGGAAGTCAAATAGGACATGGTGAAAGCCTATACTCAAAACCTTTCTGTGGCTCCCTGTTTGTCTTTTATAATAATCAATCTTTACAGTTGTCCTCAAGGACCCAATATGATCTGTTTGCCTCTTCATCTGATTTCATCTCAGTTCCTTCCCATCTCTCATCACACATCACACATGTTCTTACTACATTTTTCACACATCCTACCTTAAAACATTTGCACAGGCTCTGCCAGGGCAAGCACCACAATGAATGCTGGTTCCCTAGAGGTCTGATTCTTACTTCCTTAACATCATTTCACATGCTGACATTTCACAT